AAATATATCATAAATTACAACTATAATATAAATTATATTATATTATATCATAATATTTTTATTATATATTATATTATATTACATATTATAAGATATAACTACTATATAATATGTTGTAATTATATGATAATATTCAAGAGTAATTATGGAAAGAAAAAAAGAAAAGAGCTTGGAATTGTTATTCCTCTCATGTGAGGAATGAATGATGATTCACTTAAAATGGGTGAATGACCATTTCTTTTGAATGACCATTCTTTCTTTTATAAATCTAACCAAACATCATACTTGAAATCTATTACATTCTATTTCTTTCATTTCCACCCAACCAAATGCAGCCTAAGAAAAATAAAAAATTATTCTCACTGGTGCCCTTAAATTTTGAGATCATTCTCAGTTTACCTCGTAAACTTTAAAAATCTTCACTTTGCCCTATAAATTTTGGATTGTTCTCATTTAACCCATTTTATTGTAATTTCTATTAAAATCATATAGAAAATGAGGATGTTAAGTGTGGTCATATGGTTTTCATCTGTTTCTTTTTAAGAGAAATCCAAACAGAAAGGCCGCGTGATTGCGTTATTCTCTTTTTTTTATATGTTTTTAACAGAAATTATAACAAAAATGATTTAAATGGAAACAATTTAAAGTTCAAGATGTAAAGTGAGAGTTTTTACTTAAAGTTTAAGGGCATAAGTGATAATAATCCCAACATCAATTATATAGCGACAAAATAGAGAAATGTCTGAATCTTATTTTCGTTGTATTTTTTTGATTTTATGTTGTATGATGATTGGATGATAGAGGACTAAATTTTTGTCGCGAAAACATGTAGATTTGTTATTTTGAATAAGTTTTATGAAATTTATCACGTTTTATAGGTTATGATAAAATAGCAAGACTAAATCCAATCTTTTGTATCGGATTGAATTGGATTGGATGACAATATGTTATTGGATTCGAAAGGATTTTTTTTATATATTTGGATTGGATGATGGATGCTGAAAAAATATAGTTTCGATCCAATATTCGTCCTTATTATTTGTACTTCATGCTAGTGTTTATTTATTCTAGAGCAGTTGTGATTGGAACGAGTTTAGCATTTTAGTTCACGAACGGTCGAAAATTCTACGATTGGCAACATACACCGATCGTTCGAAGAAAAATAGCAAAGAAAATCTTTTGATTGAAACACAAGATTAATTTTTGGATACGATTGATCATTCAGAATTACTTGCCAATCAGTACATTTGATCATTATGATCCGTTTAATTCAATGATTTGAATTTTTAATTCGAGTTGAGATGTGATTTTATATGAGAGTTTTTACTGTATCGAAAAAATTAGGATTAATTTTATTGGTGCTCTCTCAATCTTGGGGTCATTCTCATTTTACCCCCTAAATTTAAAAAACTTCTACTTTGCCCCCTGAACTTAGAATTGTTCCGACTTAACCCCTTCTATTGTAATTTTTGTTAAAAACAGATAAAAAAGAGAGAGTAATGCAATAATGTGGACTTTCTGTTTGAATTTCTTTTAAAAATAATCAAATAAAAACCACACGGTTAACCCCCTTCGTCTATTCGTTTTTAACAAAAATTACAACAAAAGAAGTTAAGTGAGAATAATTTAATGTTCATGAAATAAAGTGAGAGTTTTTAAAAATTAAGAGATAAACTGACAATGATTTTAAAGTTCAAGAGGCGTCAATATTAATAATCCTATTAATTATTATATGTAACTAACATGAGTTGACGATTTTTAGTTCAATAAAATTTGTTGGAGTAAAATTTCGTCCAACACTTATCCAATGTCCCTAGACTAATAATTTGGATTGAATAAACAAATTATCTAAGGAAATTGAAAGAACACTCGAATAACATAAAGAACCTCTGAAGGAATAACAAAAACAAAATGAAGACAATCACAAGGCAATTGTATTCATAAATGAGTGTCTGTCTTTTCCTCTCAAATTGAGGGAATTTATAGTACATTAGGATTGAGGGAGTTTAATTCTCCCATTAATTTGAGAGTTTATTCTCTCTTAATTACAATGAGGCTCTTCACCTTTTTGTGAGTTAAAACTGATAAATAATCAATGAGAATTAACTTTTAACCATTCAATATCTTCAATGAGTGTCGGTTACTTCACTTGATAACATCACACGACCTTTGAACTTTCGGCTCGGGAGAGCTTGGGCTCGGGAGAGCTTGGGCTCAGACTCGGGGCAGCTTGGGCTCGGGAGAACTTGGGCTCGGGAGAGCTTGGGCTCGGACGAACCTTTGAATTTATCGCATGTTTAATGATTCTGGAAATACCGCCCAACACAATTTTTTAAAGTTATGCTTCCACGATTTTTTTGCAAATTTTCCATCATACCTTGGATGGAATAAGTATTCCTCTGATAACACTCAATCCCAACATAAGCTTTTGCAATTTTTCCCCCACTCCTTGGATGGAATAAGTACTCCTCTGATAACACTCAATCCCAACATATTTGGTTGTGTTTGGAGTTATTTTTATTTTTATTTTTTACGTGTTTCGAGAAAGAAAAAATGAAAACGAAAGAGAAACGACGTTTAGTACAATTAAAGACAAAAATAAAAATGAAAACGATTTTTTAGTTTAGTGTAAAATATGAGAGAAATGAAAAATAACTTTTAGTCATTTTTTATTTTTTATTTATGTTTTCTCATCTCTCGAGCAGAGAGAGAGACAATAATAGATTTTTTTATATTAAAAATAATCTCTTGATAAAACCATCAAACACATTTTCAAAAATAATTTTCTGTCTGAGATTGAAACGTTTTCAATTTTATTTTCATACAAAAAATAAAAAATCATTTTAGAATGAGTTCTAAATGCACCCAAAGCTTTTACAATTTTTCCAACCCTCCTTGGAATAAGTACTCCTCTATAACACTCAATCCCAACATAAAGCTTTTGCAATTTTTCCAGCACTCCTTGGATGGAATAAGTACTCCTCTGATGACACTCAATCCTTAACCTTCCATTTCATCCAAAAAAAAAAAAAAAAAAAAAAAAAAAAAAAATTTTTAACCTTCTTAACCTTCCATTTTGCTCTTCTTAACCTTAGCGGCCCTTTCAACCACGTTGAAATCTCCACCGATAAATCAGTGACTACAACGTTTGCTATTTCGACGCTTCGTGTTTGTCGATTCTATTGAGTCTCAACATCTCTCAAATACTATTTTCTCGTATGTACCTTCTAAACTATTATTTAATTTGCCTCATTAAAAACTTCTTTTTTTTCCCCTTATAAATGTACTCTACTTAAATAATTTTTTACTGAACTAAACATTTTCAAATAAATAAATAAGTAAATCATGAAAAAATTTAAATTTTAAAAAATCTTTGATTTTTGCACATGAAAAATTTAACAAACGGAATATACGAGTGCAACTAGTAAATTAAAAACAAATCGTGAAATCGTCATTAGGTATGATGTCGAACCTTACATTTTTAATAATATGAGAATTAAAATAAATCAAATTAAGATGACGTTTGATTCATGGGCTCAGAATCATGATTTATGTTCTGATTTTTAAAATTTAAATTTTTTGTGAGAGAAAAACACTATATCAAACAAAAAACTATGATTTTAAACCAGGTCATAACCCTCAAAACAAACAGAGCATAAACCAACAAGAAACATGGTGAGCCCTTCAAGTGGGGCCGTTAGTAGCTTATTATGAGAAAAGTTAGTAGCTTCATCGCAGCCGCTTGAGCCCAAAAATAGCTTCACAATTTTGTCTCCCATGTTTGAGTCACAATTCAAATGTTTTTGCTATAACATGATTTCACTCGAAAAAATTTGAATTCCTTTACAACTTTTCCATTCAAACTCGTGAGACAAACACCTAATAGTTTCATATTCAGTTATAACTAATCCATGCTGCAGAAACAATTTCTTTGGTCAAAATAGATGTATAAACTATATCAATAATGATTATGCTAAATGTAGACTCTTTTACATACTCTTTTACGGATGCTG